AAATTAGGGACATCTAAATAAGGGAAGTGAGAACTTCTTTCGAAGACGGAGGGAGTACATAAATATAGAACACATATTAATATTGGTCCTTAGGCCATATTAATTGGAAATAATCCAACAAGCCCAACCTGAGGAGACCAATAAGGATGATCATGGGATTGAGTCAGACTGCGATGGTGGGAGTATGATGGATGATACACTCTCTGATGCTTTTGAAGACCCACCTATGTCTGAATTTGAACAAGAAGATAGTAGCTAGTCTCGAGTTGTTTTTCCAAGAATACAGGCAAAAGTTTATAACGGTACAAACTGTAACTAATGAAGTCATTAATCACTAGGACTTTCATACAGAAACCCCCCAGTCATTTGATTTATCATTAGTCTCAACACCTGATGAGGCATGAAGCAGATCAGTCATGATGATGGTGCTAATAAGGTAGGTTTGGGTATTGAAGATGAGTTGGGAAAAGATGATTACACGCTCCAAGAGAGTGGGGGCAAGGTAGATGATGTCCATAATGAAGAAGTCCCTCTCCACGAGCAAGATTACCCCTCTTGTAACATGCACCAATCCGCTCTTACGTGGTTTCAGATTTGGATTTCTATGATTCACTCCTTAATGATGATATTCCTTTTTATGTAGAGAAACCGAGAAGACACTGATAAGAACAGTGTTAACGAGAGTTGGGATGCTCACATAGAGAGTGATACAGAGTCAAAAAGAGGTTTTTTGATTGTTCATAAAGTTTTTGAGGAAGAAGAAGTTTTTTCCATGGTGCAGTTTGATTACGGTGTTGCTTCTAATCTTTGCATTGAGACATGTTTTGAGCTTCCGGTGATGTCTAGAATGATCAAAGTATTGAGTCATGTTCTCTATCCACCCGAAGAGGATGTGAGTTTCATCCTTCACTCCTGTGCTGATGAGGGTTATGAAGACCATGTGCTGCCTACGTGTACTCGAGAATTTAAAGGTCTGCGCCACTTAATGACATTTGTTGAGGGAAAGTTGGATACTTTGATGATTAGGGCCCCGTTGCAGTCTTTTCTATTGGAGAGTCTAAATGAGGTAGTTGTGTTGGGCAAACGACGTTAAAAATAGCGCTTCTTGGGAGGCAACCCAAGTTTTTTTTTATTTCTGCACTTTTTTTTTATTGTTTGCTTTCATAAAACCCCCGAAAAAAACGGGGTGTTTTTCTGTTTTCGTTTTTCGTTTTGTGTGTTTTGTTTTTGCAGCTCAAGGTCTTGCTTTGGGGATGATGTGCCGGGGTTCACTTGACTCAATTTAGTTCTGGACTAACCAGAGCCTTAGGGAAGTTTCTGCGACTCTTTTAATCGCATGTTTGTAATGTTGACTTGAGTTGAGTTGAACACATGTGACCCTTTTCTCTTTACCCCCTTGTGCATAATGCATTTTTGGTCATCGAGGGCAATGACAAAGTTTAAGTGTGGGGGAGTGAATTGGGCATTCATGCAGTAGTTGTTATATGGGATTATTAGAGTTAGCATGCACATGTGTTAGTCCTATTTTCATAGGAAAGCTTTGTCAAAATTTTTGAATTTTTTTTCTTTAAACTGCGTCTTTGTGAGCTGGCTAGCATTTTGACTATGCTTTTAAAACATTATTGAAGTGTTTATTAGGCTTAAATTACTTGCACAATAATCTAGTTGTTGAAAGAATGAAGGCATTAGTCACTCATTGAATCAATTCATAAATCATTCACCTCACCTAAAAAAGTCCTTTAGGAGAAGTCACTTTGAGCATGACCGTGTATTGTTTACCCAATTAAATGAGCTTCATAGCCAAATGACCCGTTTCCTTACCCGTGGATAATTCTGACATAGTCTTGGTGTTTAGGGAACTAGGAGATTAATTTGCTAAGCTTAGAAATTTTTTGTAGGAGTCATTTGTGGCACTGTTCTTATGCCCTAAATGAGTAAAAGCAATCACTTTTTAGGAATTTAATATTCTCGAGGATTGCATTGTAGGCATGAATTCACTTGATCAATTGAACTTTAATTGCTATTTTTCCTTGGTGAGGCTGAGATTAGTGTATTTTTAGACAAAAAAATGACTAGCCACTGTATACGAGTAACTGGACAAGAGTCACGATGGTATATTTCAGAGTAACAGGTCACTTGTAGATGATGAGCCACTGGAAATTAATCACTGAATGTGTCACTTGTTTGGAAAATTTTAAAATAGGTTATACTTTTGTCTTTTGAATTTAATTAAGTAGTATTCATGAAAAAAGTCCTAAAACTTTGACAAGTTTAATTGAAACGTAGAATAATAAAGTGATTAAAAAGGAAATTGATTAAAATGTTTGGGAAAACAAAAAAGGTAAAAATGACAAAATTTTAAAGGACGGAAATACTACGTAAGACATAACAAATGTTAACTAAAAAAGCTAAAACACATTTTCACATAAGAATGATTAATACAAATTTAAAATACAAAGTACAACAAACAAGAATTTAAAATGCACCAGTGCATAACCAAACAACACTATCAATAATTCAATACATTCACAATTTAGTAGTTGACAATTACACGTATTATATTAAAAAAAATTAAAAATACATTAGTGCATTACAAAAAATAGCGATAAAGATGAACAACTGATTAATCAAGCAAATATTTAATCATGTAATAATCAATAAGCAAAATTGTAAAAGAAAAAAAAACATATTTTACACAAAATATTTTTAATTGGATCAACTTTTTCTTGTTTAATTTGATCTATTTTGGTCTGGGCTGAACCGATATGATAAATGTCTGTTTTATGTGTACTTTACAATTGTCAAAGTCTAATTTGGTTTTATCCGATTTGATCTATTCAAGTCTGACTTGGTCTGGTTTGAGACTGAGACTAGTCCATGTAAACACTCATTTACTGAATTAATTAAGGCCGAATAAATCAACTCATCCATACTTCAACGGGGAGAGTCTTGTCCTTTACTAATTTCACAAACACATCCCTAAATCCTAATTACTCGCAGGCCAAATGAACCGGCATATTCACCCCCGATAAACGAGTTTATTTTTTTCATTTTTGGTGGGTCTAGGCCCTTGTTGCCCTTTAGAACTACCTTTGGATCAAATGCGATAAAAAAAATTCAGATTTGATTATTTGATATTGTAAAGATTCGAGTCAGAAACATTTAGGATGCTTTTAGGGGTTTGTCCTCAAATAATACTAATTAAAAACATTTGGACAAAAAAAGAGACTTTTCTTTTAAGTTCCAAAAATAAGACTAAATAATACTTAAGGGACTGTTACACCCTTACTAAGCCCAAACCCACTGGCCTGCTACAGTAATTCGTCATAGTGACCAAATGTGCAATGACCAATGTTACAGTTACCAATGACATAGTTACAAAATTCATCCAGTGACCAAAAATTAATACGTCCCACCAATGACCCGCATCACAATGACCAAATGTGCAGTGACTTTTGTCCAGTGACCAATTGACAAAGTGACATCCGCCCGGTGATCAATTTTTATAGTGACTCCCGTGCAGTGACCACCGCCACAATGACCATCGTCTACCAGTTACAGTTACACCCGACCAATGCCACAATTACCAACACTACTCAGCTCTAGTGACATCTCGACTACGGTGACATCCGCCCCCAGACCACGCCAATCTCAGTGACCAACCCGACCCCGGTGACCAACCCGACCCTAGTGACCAACCAATAGTGACATCCAGTCGCCTCGTCAATGCCCTGAATTTCCCAACCAACCCCGCTGCTACCCTAGCAGTCCAGTCCCGCCCCCCTGCCCAACCAGCCCCCTACCCCACCATAGTGACCTGCCGGCTGGCCAATGACCTCGTCGGCGAGTGACCACCGCCGGCAATAGTGCCTGTCGTCGGTGACAGTGACCATCACGGGGCAACATCAGTGTCTTTCTCCAGACCCGTACTCACCCTGGCCACCTACTGCCACTGCCTGACCCAGCCATCACCACCGCATACACCAACTCCCTACATTCCGCCACTACCCCTGCCCCACACTAGCCTAACGAGCCTCACAGAACAAGAGTTTCAGATCTGTTGAGGGTCAACTTGAGAATCTGCCGTAGCCACCAGCAAAGTCGCCGGTGGCTCCCAAATCCGACGAAGCATGTCGCCGGATCAATAGATCTCGCCGCCGGATTAGAAGTTCCTCGCTGGATCTACGAAGCTCATCACCGCAGGAGCGAGCAATAGCGGTTTCCGGACAAAAAGAAAGGAGAAGAAGAGATGAGAGGAGGAGAGGCGTTCCAGTGGCAGGTTTAGCCATCGCCATTGCTCTGCGTAGCCGTCGTCTCCGTCGTTATTCGTAGCGGCAGCCGTCGCTCAAAGAATCTATGCGGGCGAAGATGAGGGATGGCCGGAAAGAGGTTTGGTCGCCATCTTCGTCACAAAATCTGGTCGCCATCTTCATCGGATGAAATCCGCCATTTCAAGGGAAAGAGCTGCGCTACTTCTACGATGAAATGAAATGGAAAGTTCAGATGAAATTAGGGATGTGAGTAGGGTTATTTGAGTCTCTTTACTCCATGGTCTCATTTTAGTCATTCTTTCATGCATTAACTTGAACTGTAATTTGTCCCAGACCAGATCAGATCAGATGATCAGACCAGACCAGATCAGATCAGACCAGACCAGACCAACAAATTACCGTCCAAAGTAAAAACATTCAAGATTAGACCGGGCCTTAAAAATTAACTACTAATGAAACACTTATGAAGTTAACAACTACTAAAAATATCAAAAACATATTTTCAAATTAACACTAAAATCCAACTAATGAAACACCTTCTAAAATCCCTAAAAAAAAACTTCTAAAATTAACAACTACCAAAACATTTAAAAATATCTTTTCAATCAGTGGAATCAAACATACATTAGTGAGTAATTATTGGTGTACATCTTTTTTGTGCACAGGGGAGCTGCTTGTGTAGTTGTGTATATGTACTGTAGACAGAAAATAGAGAGTTCACAAAAAACGCTTATACTGAGTGTTTTCTATCTACATTATTATTATACGATCGACTAGAAAAGCTTTGCAATCTCGGCCACATGCAACCAACCAGAGGAGGCTACGCACGCGCTTTCCTCTTCATCATCAAAACAAGCTTCATCCAATTTTCAATTTTCCAGAAAAGTCTTCGTATCAACATCGTCTCCATCTTGACTCCCCCACGCATAGCTTCTGCATCATTATTAATTATTATTTCGAATTGAGAACAGAGTGAGAGGCAGCTTGAAGCTAGGGATCATGGGTTGTTGCAACAGCAAGAACGCGGATACGAAGGCCAGCCGCATGGCTCGGTGGCGCGCCACCGGAATCGTAGCTTTATGCGACTCCAAATTGAAGGCATTCTTACAATTCCTTCCCTTTTCATTTCCCTGTATATTGGTTTTGAAAAGTGCAAGCAAGCTTCATATCTATTATTAGTAGCTATTAACGAATGAATTTGCTGGTTGTTCTAGTTGTAGAAATCAAAGTTTTTTTTTTTTTACTATCTGTCCCACTAAGATTGAGATGTGGGACGATTATTAACAAAAATGTAATTATGTAGATGCTATCAAATATTTGAAGTGCACATGAATCAGAAACACACAGATACAACCATATATTCCATGAGACATGTTAATCTGGACGGCTAAAATAGAAAGATGGGATAAAGATACAGGGACATAGGGAGTTTTTTTTTTTTTTTTTTTTATGTTGAGGGAGTATTTCTTTATTTGGAAAATAAGTTATTGGAGAAAGTTTGAAATTTAAGTATTGATTAACTGCTCTTGATGAATCAACATGCACACATGTCGTGTGTTCTGCAACTATACTGTGTTGTACATTGCTTGAAGCTAATTTTCAATTGGATGCTAATGTTCAGTACCTCTCAATATAATGGCTAATCACTAATCAGTAATCACCTTAACTGAACTATATAATTGTAATCTGATTTTAAAGAGATAAACTGGTCTTTACAAACAACAACAACAACACAAACTGGTCTTTAGCTATGAAATAATATATCTATGGTTATTTCATGAATAATGATGATTGTTGACACGTTGGCACTGGAAAGACTGGTTAGCAGCTGCTGAAGGCTTTCCTTGTAGAAGTATTTTATATCAATTACAAGAGACTGACTTCTATATTTCTCTTCAGTCATTTCCAGATGAAGTTCTTGACCTAGAGAGATCTGTGCGTACTCTTGATTTGACATGCAACAAAATAGGTATTTGTTTAGTACTTTAGTTTCTAATGACTGCAATTGTCATTTGTTTTCTTCAATCATTTTTTCCATTTTTGGGCTTCATGGATTCAAGGTACTCTAGTTGTTTATTCACTAATTATGTATAGGATTTTACTATCGGAGTCATACACGCATACGGTTTTCTTATTCACAAGACATATCTTTAAAGTTCATATCATGGAGTTTTATTGTATACCCTTTTCAATCTTATAAATTGTATCCCTTTACTTCAACAGTTGATATTCCTGTGGAGATTAACAAGTTAATGAACTTGCAGAGGCTGGTAAGAGGACTTGCATAAAACTGCATTGTCTATATTTATTGCCTTCTCTTGGGTATGCATTTCTGTATTGACTTATACATTCATTCAGACTTTAACATAGCACTGCCTTTCAGATTTTGGCTGATAACCATATAGAGAGCCTTCCAGTGAATCTGGGGTTGCTTCAGTCCATAAAGGTTCTGAAACTTGATAAGAATCGAATGAAAACCTTGCCTGAGGAATGTAATACTCTTCGCTCTCAAGCAAGGGCATTTTATGGTCCTCTTGTTCTTCATATTTGATTTTCTGAATATACAAGTACGAGGCTTTTCTTGTTCTTTTGCCAGTGGTAGAGTTTAAGGCTCTACTTTCCTGATTTTACTAACTGCTACAGTATTCATTTGTTCAGTGGGCCAGCTAGTGAAGCTGGAATGCTTATCTGTCTCAGAGAATTGCTTAGTAAACTTGCCTGATACGATTGGGGGCTTACACAATGTGAGTTCCCTCTAGCTGGGATTTTTACATCTAGTGAAGGCTTTAAAATCTGCTCTTCTTATGGACTTGTTTCGTAATATTAAGTTCAATCGTTTTCCTTTATGTGTTTCTCCATGCTTTACCTCTATATGGCATGATTGGAGTGTGGGCTATGAGGAATGAATTGACACCTCTTTAGGATATATGGTATATCTCAAAGAAAATTTTTAGGTGTCAAAATATGTAGAGTGCCCCCTTTCTTGTTCTTGTAAAAGACATAAGCCCTCCATCATGTGATCATGCCCTACTAGCTATTGCAAATTGCTGGTTCTCCCTTTAGTTTCAAATCTCATCACCAACTACAATTATGATTCTAGATGCTGCATGGGAACATTTCTCAATTTTGCTAAGTGGGGGCTGTGGCGGAATGGCACTGAGAACTTTGTGCCATATGACAAAATTTTCTTCATTGGCTTAAAATCTTCCAGTCCATTTTGATGGAAATATGTAGTATGCTAGTAGCCCTTGATGCAGTTGCTTAAGGTGAGGGAGAGTTGTAGAGTTTAAAATCCTAGACATGTAATGCATGCAGTTGCTAGTATCCTAGACTTGAAAAAAGGAAATTAAAATCCACAATGCATCACTAGTTTTATTATGCTGCAAAACTAACACCCACTTTCTTGGACTATGCAGTTAGTCCTATTAAATGTGTCAAGTAACAAGCTGAAAAATTTGCCAGAATCCATCGGAAAGTGTTCCTCTCTTGAAGAATTGCAGGCAAACGGTAGTCTATGATCACTCTTTTTAGATATCCCTCTCTCCCTATATATATTTAATTTTATATGTGTGTATGTATTGTTGAAAATAATTGAAGATTGGGAAAACTGGGAGGCTAAAAGTGGAAATGACTATAAAACAAATTTATTTTTCAACACGTATATATGTGTATATACATATATAGATATATAATTTTCTCTAGCCACATTGACGGTAATGGAAGTTGGTCCATAATCTTCTCTAATGATTAGTGAAAATAATCTTCTCTAAATAAATTGCAAGTGTACTAGTAATATGTAAAAACAACTACTAGATTTCAAGTAGTTTTATTCTTGGAAGCACGGGTACTCCTGAGACATGGGGGCATCCCTAAAACGTGGCCAAACTTTCTTTTTTAAATTCTTGGACGCATGACGGACACAGCTGAACCTTTTTGAAAAAGAAATGGAGATGTATCTTTTCGCTATAACTCAGGTATTGGGCTAAACTGCTAAAACATAAACCACATCTCTCTTATCACTCCTAGCCTCTATCTATGAATCTATTTGTATTCAACTATTCATCACTCAGTGACTCTTGTTGATGCCTGTCATCGAAGAAAAAGCACTAGATGTTACACCATCTCCCCTTTTTTTATTGTTGCTGCAGTCCCTACAATAATTATAAACTTTTGCTCTGTGTATTCTTCTTCTTCAGATGATGTAACATTGGACATCATTGGTATTGTTTATTTTGCATTTAATATTTGAATGCTTCAAATTTAATGTTTAACTTTAAGACTTTTGTGAACTTTCCACATTATTAGTATGGAGTAATATTTATCCTATATAAAATTAATGTGGACGTTATATATCATGAAGTTATGAAATATTTATAAAACTTGTTGACCCTCCCCCGCCGTACCAGTGTGTCATATTGTTAATGAACGCCATTCATGGCCCCTGTACCTGGCAGCCTGGCACAATACCTGTTTCCGTGCTTAATAACCTTTAGTGATCTGACGTTGTTGTTCAATTGCCATGGAATGATGAAGCAGCTTTTGAGGACCGGTGCTGTTTGTAATTACTCATTTTTTTATTTGACATTCCCAGTCTTGTCTTCTAGTTTTTCTTAGGGCATGGCCAGAGAGCCCTTTCGGCCTTTCATCATATAGATCTGATTGTTAGATGTATATCAACTTTCACCTTCCCCCAAAAAAAGGTTTGTGCAAAAAACAGCCTCTCCCTCTCCTAATGCTTCATCATAACCTAGTATTCAACGGAAGAAGTTTTAGCAACAACACCGAGTCACTGATCTCAGGTTTATTGTGTCTATAAACTTTTCCACTTTGTTCTCTTAGAATTTATTTGCAAATTCTAATTAATTCATTATGACTAATGAGGCATGTAGTATTATGAGCTCGAAGACTTCCTTAGGATGAGTGATGGATCTCTCTAGCATTTTCTCTTTCAATACCTTTTTATTAAACTTTTTCATTATCATGATTGTAAACTATTGTCACAGATAACTCCATTGAAGAACTCCCTGCTTCTGCTTGCAGCCTTGTACATTTGAAGTCACTTTGCATGAACAATAACAATCTTGGACAGGTGCTTGTCAAATATCTCCATCATTAAGCAAAAAATGCTTCTGAACACCACAAATTAATAAGTATCCTCTATTTTACATGTAAATTATTTCCCCCCCGCAATAATACATGGTCATGATTATTTTGAAATAGGACCTAAAATATCACATTTTGAGTTCTGACGCGCAGAACTTCACTATACAATTGATTTATTTTACTTACTCCAAATGCCATGTTCTAAATTATATAATAAAAGTTCATTTTAAAGTAACTCTCCATCTTATTTTTAAAATTAGATGCAAGGCGTAAACCCCTAGTATTTTCAACATGTCTAGATGTAAGAAGTTATAGTAGTTTAATAACCAGTGTGATGTCTTTGGTTTGGCAGATACCTCCAAATTTTTTACGGGAGTGCAAAAATTTACAGAACATATCCCTTCATGGAAACCCTATTTCTATGGATCAATTTCAACAGGTAGATTCTTCTATTATTTGATGCATTGTTCTATTCGATGATTCTTACTGATGTCATCGTAACATCCTAAGTAAATATTAATATTACTTTCATCTGCAGATTGAAGGTTTTCAAGAATTTGAAGCTCGGAGGAAAAAGAAAGTTGATAAACAGATTGAGAGTAATGTGATTATCAGTCATAATGGTCTCGATGTGCGGGTTGACCAATGACATCTCTGCAAGAGGATAGGTGTGTTAGTTTTTCATTACATTTTTTAGTAATGTTAAATACTTAATATACCCTCTGGTGTTACTTTTACCCAAAATACAGGGGAAATTAAACATGTTCATCATCTAAAGTTATCACTCGTTGAATTAATTCTATTTTTGGTCCTACCACTATAATTAGAACATTCCTAGTGGTAGTCCTTACCATTCATTTTTCCACTTTTGGACCCACATCAACATTACCCCAGTGCTGCAAAGGCTCCCAGCAGCGGTGGGGTAGGGGGGGGGGGTCGGATGTACGCAAACTTACCCTTGTACTAAAGCAGAGAGAATCTTTCTGGATGACCCGTGATGAAAATCGTGCCGAAAATGGCATGGACCGACTTTTACTTCATAACGAAGAAGGGCAGACAGGTTAGTAAGTCATTTTGCTTTATTCCATCATATTCCCAAGCCAAAAAATAATGAATCTTTGTCTCCATTGGAAATGATGGAAAAGTCGATGGATATTATATGGATATTAAAAAATTGATCAGGTAAGTGGTCAGAAGGATCGTAAGTGACAAAAATCTATAACCATGGGGCCAGAAGTGTAAAAATAAAAGTTGACCAAAAGTAATCCTGTCATGTTAAATTTTCAGGATCTGAGGATTTTTTTGTCGATGAAAAAGAAGTTTCCTGCTTCTGTGTCTCAGTGTCTGCATAGACTGCATGTTATCCTGCATATGAATTTATAGACTAGGTATGAATATATGATCCAAATTTACTTGCTGCCAGCTGAACTAGAGCACCATGAACCTCCATGATGAACTCAGACAGAGCAGTGCTGCCTTAGTATTCCGCCCTTCCCATGACATATATTGTGCAGTTAGTTACTCATTTTCACATGAATTGTAAATCAAATCCATCCTGTATGACATATACGGTAAGACTCCACTTTTTTCGCTCAGACTGAATGAGTTGATGTTTTTTCCTTTCTAATTTTTAGGGAGGCGTATGAAAAACTGTCCTTTTGCCTTATTTGGCAGTTCCATATTTTTACTCTGTTAGTTTAATCGATTGCGGTCATTCTCTTTGTTGAAATGAAGTTGGAGTGATCATTCTACATGATTTTTAACAACAAAGTAGCATCGTAGAAAACATTGTAGCCTTTAAGGTTTAACCAACTACCATAATGACACAAAAAATGGAGTACTCTCCAAGTTCCGATATAGGCTAGGGACTATTTACTTGGCAGGAGACAAGTTGAAGCATCAAACTAATAGGGGTGGACTGAACCGGGCCGGTTCGGGCCTCGAGCCTGGGCCCGGCCGGGCCTCGGTTCAGAATATTGAGGCCCGAGCCCGAACCGGGGGTGGCCGGTTCCGGGCCGGTTCCAGGCCGGGCCATCCGCCCTATTTTTTTTTTGGCTTCTTTATTTAATCCCCTACCCCTCTTTCTCAACCCCAAACCACCCCAAACCACCTCAAATGGACCAAAATACCTAATCTAACCCAAAACATAAAAAATTTTCAAAAAAAAATAAAAAAAAAATTATTTCCGGCCCGGACCGGGCCCGAACCGGCCGGGCCGGTTCACCATATGGAAGGCCCGGGCCCGGAACCGGGAACCACCGGGCCGGTTCGACCCGAACCGCCGGTGGACCGGGCCACCGGGCCGGGCCGGTTGCTACAGTGGCCGGGCCGGTTCCGGGTCGGGCCGCCCGGCCCGAGTCCAGGCCTACAAACTAACATTTTCCTCGATGTTTTTCCTTTTTATTTATCAATCCCCTCCATTCCATTATATGTCTTGCTCATTCAATGAGTCATGGCTGAAGATATTTCCTGTTATATTTTTGTTGTATTTAATGTGTTATAAGCAATAGAAACAATTAAGTAATTAACATCTTTAAATTATTAACTTCATCAAAAGAGTGACAAAAAGTGGTCGTCTTCCTACACTAGTTAGGGTTTTATGTTTTGCTGAGCTTCGTTCATGTGATTTGGATTTTCGTGGAACGAGAGTTTCAGCGGCTTTCCTTTTGGGAATTTTGGAATGTGACAAAATGATAGAATTTTCTTCTGTACCTCGGACATGGATTTCAATGGCAAATCTCAAGGAGCGAATTGGCGAGAGCAATTAGGAGAGTGCAAGGATATGATTTCAAACGAATTTTCCGGGGGTTGAAATTCTCTTCTACCATACTATACTACTATAGCAGCTCGCCCTCCTCCGGAACCACCTTCGTGCGAGAAAGCAATTTGGGAAAAGTTTTTATTTTCTTATTATTTTTGTTATGAAGCAACAGCCAGTCCATGCAATTTTGGACGTGATTTTCACTATGGGTCATCCGGAAACAGTCTCTCTGTGATGATGATGATGATGATGATTGATGATGATGATAGAGTACTTATTTTTATTTTAATTCGAGCATGTATGGTTGGAGTATTTTGATTTTTTGAAGAACTTTTGATAGATAGTGCTTCATTTTCTGTCGTTTCAGACTTCTTGCCTGTTTTGTGTCTACCGAGTCAGGTTGCTTTGTATGGGTGGTTGACTCTAAGTCTATTGCTAGGGCTTATGATCGAATCTGTAATAATCGTCTGAATTTTGTGTCTTGCATGTTTGCTCTATATTAATGAAAAACCATTTTGATGCTAAAAAAATTATTAACTTCATCAAAATTTTATAAAGCAAGCTGTAACTCTGTAAGATGACTGTGTATGATTATTATAAAAAATGAGCTAAAAAGAATGTGTAGTTTAACTAATGCATTTGGTAATTATACATTGAAACTTTATGTGCATAAGTGTAGATCTGCAACCAGTTCACATTTAAAATCGCATTGTGTTGTTTGTTTGGCATGTAATAAGTTAGTGCAAAGTAAATACTTACATGAGACAATGCTATACTCCGTACCCTCCACTTCACATTTTAGACCAAACCAATTCTCTACGGCCCTAATCTTTATAGGGTATACTTATAAAGTAGAGTAATTATTAATACTTCGTATAAAACAGATATAATCGGGTGATAGAATATAAAATCCCTTTTAGGTGATTATTATACACTAATTCATTTAATTTATTTATCAGCAAATCAGCAACACGAAGTGAATTCAATCATCCTATCATTTCAATAAATTATACTCCGTAGTCCGTACTATAAATGTTCGAGATATTCGTCGTCGGAACCTGCAAAACAACGTTAGAAAATAAAACCGCTCGTGACGCGCCAGAGTCCTAAAGAAAGTATTTCCGATGGTCGGAAGTCTTTCCCCAAGATATAACGAGCCCTTCGGCGAGATTGTCAGACACAGAATCTACGAGGATAGAATTTAGTTTATGTAATCCAACAGTTTTTAGACTAAGATAATATGAGAAGGTTGTCTCCATGCTAGTGAATTTAATTTGTGTGGTGTGAGTGAAGCCCAAAAAATACATCCAACGCTCCATGCGAACAACCCTATTAGGAGTCCATGTTACTCCACACATCATATTTGATCAATATACATCATATAGTAAGATACCAATATTCACTTTTTAGATAACTTGCGAATGTACTTGTAGTGTTATACGGAGTACCATACTAAGGTTATTAAAATGTCATAAAATCAACTTTAAAAGTACAACTATTGGAAATTGAAAGTCTCCACCTCGTGGCTCAAATGGACATATGGTCCCCTGAAGTGAATCATTGTGTCCAAAATGGGACGCCGGTCTTATATGTACTCTTAGGCTATATCTACTCTTATGATTTAGCTGTGTTGGGGTCATTCTCGTCCGCTCAGTTCACCTTATGATCGATTCCTATATTTGTGTTTTGATCTGATTCTTAAAACTGATTCTGCTCATTTAGAGAGCAGAAGCAGAAGCTGGAGTATTTGTGTGAAAGTGCAAAAGTGATTATGGTGCTCCTTTAGAGAGCAGAAGCAGAAGCTGGAGTATTTGTGTGAAAGTGCAAAAGTGATTATGGTGCTGTAATTTACTTTGGCTAAAGGGTCAAATAGGTACATGAACTAATTTAAAGTGTTCAATTAGCCCCTTATATAAGAGGTTCTGCCCGGTCGTCGCCAATTGGGGCGGTTCCCAGTTGAATTTTTTGAACACCTACTTCATTAAGTCTAGTTTACCCATATCAAATTTCAGCTAAAAATTAAATCGGGAAGGCGGTCAATTGATTTTCCGAAATGTACTGCGCTGTTTAACCACGCAGTTATGTTCAAAAAATCATTTGACTGCCTTCCCGGTTGAATTTTTAGCTGAAGTTTGGTATGGGTAAACTAGACTTAATGAAGAAGATACTCAAAAAATTTCATCAAAAAATTCTACCGGGAACCGCCTCAATTGGCGACAGTCGGGCAGAACCTCCTATATAAGGGGCTAATTGAACACTTTAAGTTAGTTCATGTACCTATTTGACCCTTTAGCCATTTACTTTTAGAATCATTTTTTTAGAAGTTGGGGGAGACCAGTTTCTGAAAACTGATTCTGCTTCTGCTTCTGCTTTAAAAAGGAAGCAGAAGCAAAATCAGTTCCAAACACCCCTATATTGAACCTCATGCAAGCCAATCAATTATCTTACAAAATCTCTCTATACCTCTCTAATCACTAATTGTTTGTGTTGTTCACTTGTTCTCTAAAGATCGAGTATGATAATAGCACATATACATTGAATTAGAGAAGCTTAGGTATTGTAGGATCGAATCGATAGTGTAAAATGTGCATCTTGCGGCCCAACATATATCATCTTGGAAATAATGTTCACGATGGATTCATATAGATTGGGATAGCAAAGTGTAGTGATGACTAGATTGGGATTCATCCGGCCGTCGCCATTTAGGGCCCTTCCCGGTGGATTTTTTTGCTGAATCTTTTTGAGCATGTTCTTCATGAAGTCTAGTTTATCCATACCAAATTTCAGCTAAAAATTCAATCGGGAAGACAGTCAAATGATTTTTGGAAGTTACTTGCGCAGTTTATATACATATAAAACGCAGTTATCTTCCAAAAATCATTTGAGTGCCTTCTCGGTTGAATTTTTATCTGAAATTTGGTATGGATAAACTAGACTTGATAAGGAACATGCTCAAAAAATTTCATCATCAAAAAATTCCACCGGGAAGGGCCTCTGATGGCCTTGGCCGGACGGTCCCTCCTGTCCCTCCGGAGGGACCTGATCTTTTCTGTGTAAAAGCATTACTCCAAAACTACTTCATATGTAAGTTTATATTCATGTGATAAACGCTTATCCTTGCCAATGGAAGATCTAGTGATGTGACTATGTGAGTAATTCTGGGACTATTTCTCCATGTCTTGAGATTGCATAGTTGTATAAAATAATAATCCAAATAATCCGGCATCTTCCCAATCATGTCAAGTCCACAAGTACATAGTTTATTGGTATAGTTTATGGTGTCCAATCTAATTTTGTCTAATGACACCCCTTATGCTTTAAAATCATTTCTTCATAAGTGTGACAACTTCTTTACATAAGGAGAAGAACGCTAGTACTCCCTCTCTTCATGTATTTTAAAATTGAATTTATGAAATTTGGATACTCCATGTCTTTTTCATAAGAACACTTTATTAAATTTCTTACAGCAAGTATGACTATCAATATTTTCCATATAATTGTTTGTATAATAATGCAAAGACCCCGCCGTTTCAAATTTAAAACCCAACCTTGTTTTCTACCAGAGTGACCAAGTAGCTCAACAAGATTTTCATGTTTGGTCTTTGAAACCATAAAAACCCAAAGGAAGAAACACAATGCATTAAGTTAGATATCACGAATATGCAGCGTACGATACATTAAACAAATTTAAGCTTGAGCCTAATACAGATGAAACACCTAATTTCTTCACGAAGCTGGAGCCCAAAAACCTCCAATACATTTTCCACATTTAAGTTTGCAAAACTGTTGCACAAGAATGTATATGTACATTGTACAACAAGTATGTGCACAATATATCCAATTGACAAAATGAGCATTTTCATATGCACCAGTATTACTTGGATGAAAATGAATATTGTACTCCGCATAGAACAAAAATGGGTAGAACATTCTCGCAAAAAAAATGTGTAGAGCATAATATGAGCAAGATGAAATGAACACTCTTCTAATTCAAAATGAGCAAATATAAAAACAAATAACTAAAATGCTGACATAGTTCCCCTATGGCACCCCAACCATCTTGAACTGCAATATTATTTACTATTAATAGCAAACATTTCAGTACAAAGGCTGAAATGTTTAGCAGAATCCATTGGAAACAGCTGTTGATCAGGGGGTTTAACAACTTATTGAAGCAAATGACTCTGACACCTTGTTACCTCATGAGGCTAAACTGGTAAACTTGCATGAGTCTCATCCCCACATTATAAGCTTCACTAAACTAATTTACAACGAGCAACAGCAAATGCAACAACAACAACAGCAGCAGCAACCACGTTCCTTAATTAGAAGAGGTTGGCTTTAGGGGAGGGTGCATCAATCACCTCAATCTGGATCTCAACTTCACCACATTCTACATTTCTCAGTCGAAGTATCATCTCTTGCGTCATTTTACCGTGCTCCCAGACAATGTTGCTCCCAACTGCCAAGCAGTTTTCCTCGCTTGGCTCCACACTATGAACCTTGGAACCATCTGGCAAGCCTTTCAACCCCATTTTCATTGCTTCGAGGTATGGTTTTATGTCTATCCCTGCGTCTCCCATTTTGTCGTCTACGGTGAATGTATCTTTGTCATAAAGAGTCTGGACAATATAAACTTATCAGTTAGGCAAGAAATGTTGTGTACCATATACGAAGTATGAATGAAGCTATGATTCCATCGAAACATGCCCGCACACAACAAATCACATAAATTTGCACATTTTAGGACTAAAAAGTGTCACAATTTCAATAGTTGGACAAATCATGTTGATTTGAATTCAATGATCAAATGTGGACAAACACATCAACTAAATGACAAAAAATTATGCTCACTGTTGTTGGACTATTTATTATATAACATTGCATTTTTTATGCTTCTAAATGCATGTTGTGGAAGAGCCATGAGAACTATAACTTTTTTGGCATTTGGATTTTTTCATGAAATGAGTTTAGTACCCGTCTTTTGATTTTTTTTACTTTTAGTTGTTGTGGCTGAAATACATTCGTTACAGATCTTTGAATTTTTTCACTCAAATAATGACAATGACACTTCTGATCATCTAAATATTGTGAGTGACACTATTGGTCCTCCAACTATTGTTCAAGACCTCAAAGACAATGACTACAGACTAGAGTGCCACACCGGACTAAAATAATAAAGAGAAAATTAACACATGTATGAGTAAAAGAGGGATAGTTTCCCAATGTATGACTAGGGTAGTTTCTTTCCTTAAATCATGCGTAAATGACATGCCGCATGTATGACATTTAACTGCAATTACTTCATGCGCCCATGTATGACATTCCCTGTTTGGTTATACGGTAGATACAAAAACAGTTACAGTCATACTTTAGGAAAAGTCATAGGTTTCAGTATTATTGAGGTATTTTTCCCAACAATAAACAAAATCAAAGACAAGTCCTAAAGATATTTATTAGTACTATGTACGCTATGAGATATATCACTTTTTTTTGAAAATTATGAGATATATCACTTAC